GATCCCTGCAGCCTGGAACGGGTCTAAAGGAGCATGCAAAGGCCAAAAACATGATGCGTGGAGGCTAAAAATGCGATGCGCAGAGGCAGCTGTTCGTGGTAAATCAAGCTTCAATAACGTGCTGAAACTTACCATGCTGTTTGCCATTTGCTGCAAGAACCCTGCCAGATGAATACCGATGGATGCTGATAGGCAGAGGCAGAATTTTTTTTCTTGTTTTCCTCCCCAAAAACTAATGTGCATCTTATACTCCGGAGTGTCTTATACTTTGAAAAATATCGTACTCTGACTAATAGAGATGTTTATGTAACTTATATGACTGCCTAAATCATGTAATCCTAGGCAGCCCACAACCAATGAAAACAACAAAAGCAAAACTAACTATCCCACCAGGTGCCAGACCAATCGGCCTCCTGATTTAGCCTCCACCCTAAACCAATCCTTATAGGAAGAAACAGGTCTTCATGGCCTTCTGGAAGATTAGAACGATAGGGAGCCTTCGAATCTCAGTTGGAAGAGTTTTCCAAAGAACTGGGGTAGCTATAGAGAAGATGCACCTATAGCAGGGGTGCAAACTTGTGGGCTGGATGCGTCACATGCTAGCCACCCCACCCCCATTTTAACAAAGGAAAAAAGTCACAATACGTCGTGATGACAACATGACATCACAAGTTTGACACCCCTGACCTACAGGGTCCCATCAAATTACCGCATTTAAGAGAGGGGACCTGGAGTGTCCTAATTGATCTAGTAGGATGGACAAATAGCCTCAGGGAGAGACAATTCCAAAAATAACCTGGTTCTCTGTGTCTATGGAGTTTTAAAGGTGACCTTGAAATTGGACTCAGAAATTGGAAGCCAGTGCAATTTAGGAAGCAATGATATAACTCAGGTCTTTGAGGGAGATGGGCAGTTCAGAAATGCAATAACTAAATGCCCCCACTTTGACACTTTCACAAGGCCCTGAAGACCTGGGGAATCCAGAGGGATGGGAGCCCACTTGATTGTGGGCCGCCAGTTTGACACTCCTGTTGTAGAGGAATAACTAGATTGCATTTTTTAAAAAATGCACTACACATTTTTTCTTTCTTTTGTGATGCCCAGTAACGGTTTAACTTTTCTGGTAATTGGTTGAATGTAAACTACAAGTATAATTGTAACATAGGGGTTATGTTCACACAATAACTTGTATTTTTGTTTGTAGTCCACAATATACAAAAGGAGGTGTTCAGTTTTCTAGACATATAGAAATTGCCTTAAATGGAATATGGTAACATTTTATATATATATATATATATATATATATATAGAGAGAGAGAGAGAGAGAGAGAGAGAGAGAGAGAGAGAGAGAGAGAGAGAGAGAGAGAGAGAATATTGAATGCATTAAACATTTTTCAAAGGTATAACTAGCACAAAATCCTGATTTATGATTGCTAATCTAGGTAAGCAGTTTGCCTTTTTGCTATATTTATAGCGGTGTAGTCACAAGCTGACTTTCAAGACTATTAACTATATAAAGAACTGGTATTTAAAATATAAACTAGTTTATTTATAATTTAATGGATTTTTTAAAAAAAAACAACAACTCTAATTCAGGAAATCATCTACAGTTTGTAAACTACAGCCAGGTATTTCATGGCTTCGAGATTTTAAATGTGGTGGTTCATAGTATTTACATCTAAATCTAGGGGTATATTATACCCACAACTGCGAAACTTTGGGTTTAGTCCAAGAAGAGTGCTAGTTTCATTTAAATAATATTTAATGTATTTAATTATTAAAGCCATTTATAAAGAATGTTATAGAAATGCAATAATTTTGATTTGTTAAAATTCTATTAAATTTAGCATCTATTCTGCTATGATATTGCTGGGTGTTGCCCATTCTTTTTTCATGTAGCCCACCCGCCCCCATATGGCAGTGAAAAGCCAATGTACAATTAGTATTAACAATTAATATGGATTAATATTATGAGGGAAAAACACTGTTATTATGAGATTACTATTAGAGAATACTATTATTATTACTATGATTAATATTACACAAAAGAATTGTAACCAGACAACACACTGTCTATATGTATTTTGAACATGTTGCTCTTTCTATTTATATTATTTTTTTTAAAAAGTCAATGTACACCTTGGTCTGTATGCACCATGGTAGGCTGGTTTGCATTTTGTCTCATTTCTAAACATGGAAACACATGCCTGCGTCTAATATGTGCTGGCTGTTTTGTCCATGCCTATATTTTATGTTATATTAAGTGTACACTGGAGAATTTGAGCATTTATTTTCATTATAGAAGGAGCAGTATGGGCCTAAATATCTGTCATATATCTCTATTTAGTTAGATCACAGTTTTATATTATAACTTGCAATTATTGATTGCTAACTTAATATATCTCTTCTCTGCAATCTGTGTGGTTTAAATTTATTCTGTAAATGTAAACCAAATTAGGATCATATATCTTTCCAGTCAGTAAAAAAAAAAGTCTGTCAGGAATAGTATATTTTGAGCACAATATATATATTTGTAATGCAAGTGTTTAGGCTAAAATGAAATGAGCTTGGAGTTTAGCTGAAAATATAACTTTGCTTGGTTGGAAAGAAATTACCATTCTGTTTTAAAATTTGGATTTATGAAATATATTCACTGTTAGCATTTAAATTACAGCAGTCCTTATTGATGAAATAGAAAGACCTATTGATATGATTCTGTGTTGACAAGGTTTAATTTGATTTCTAAATTCAGTTGTTAATATACTTTTTTGGGTGGACGGAGTCTTGCAGTGTCAAGCTGAGCCCATTGGTTGACAGGCTAGAGCAGGGATGTCAAATTTGTAGCCCATGGGCCAGATGCATCAGATATTGTCCACGCCCACCCCCGGTTTAGCGAAGTAGAAAAAAGTTGTGATACATCACGTGATGCCACAAGTTTGACATCCCTGGGCTAGAGGGACTAATAGAATATAATATTTCTTCATAGTCTTTAACTCTTCCTTAGCAATCATCTGGCTCTATACATTCTATTCTGTCTCCTATCTTTGTCTAATCACTTGATAATTCTAATTGTCTGCCTTCCAGGGGCATGCCTTACCTGGCATCTTCTTCACTAATCTACCTAAGAGGGCAGAAAAGATGAGGTTTCAGTTACCTGTGTCTTATTTCAATAATGCAGCCTCCTAGACTTTGAGACACATTGAGGCATGTGGCTAGGGAATAGTCACCTCCGTTTTAGGGAGATAGATCAACCCTACAGTGATAAATATAATCAAATGTGATGTTGGAGAGCCAAGGAAAGGAGTTAAGCAGGGAATTAATCTGGAATCTCTACATAGGCAAAAGAGGGTAAGGTCCAATCACCCTTGAATGCCACTGAATCTTATCTAGTCTAGCCCAGGTGCAAACCTCCAATCTGGAAAGATTTCTGTTTTATAGGCACGGTATGAGCAATAAAATGCTAACTGAACTCTTGACCTGTGGGTCTGGTGGTTCACTTTATTTTAAAAAGAAAAGGAAAGAATTTGAACATTCTTTTTTGGCTTCAAGTAACCACATTCAGTGGCAAAGAGCATAAAGAGTTCAAATCTCATATAACAATTTAAAAGGAGCTTCCATAGAAAAATATTCTCCTAAAGGAGTCCCCATAGGAAAATATGTGATTTAGGAAACCTTAATGCAAAGAGTTTTCAAGTTACATAAAAACACACAGTGATTGAACTTGTAGATGGTAGAAAGCACATGCACACTTTCGTCTGCTATTTGTGCAAATGGAGCTATGCATGCACTCACCCGCCACTTCTATGGCCCAGTTCCAAATAGGCCAAGGCCCAGTAGTGGGCCATGGCCTAGTAGTTGGGGATCCCTGCCTTATAGTATATAAGTAGCAAGGTAGAATGCTTCTATTTCAAAGAATTAATTTAAAAAAACATTTTAATCTAAATTTGGACAAACATTTGAAGTATATTAGAAGGATACTTTATAACATTTACTTCTCCTCCCTGGTTGGGAACGGCAGGCAGCGCGGGTAAACTCAGTCAGTAGACCAATCAGGACCGGGTCTGCAATGACGTTTAGCCCCGCCCTTCCTGCTGCTCTCTTCAGTTTATCGACTCGGTCGACCTGGACGGTTTAGTCTCCTGCTGTTCTTCAAAAAAAAAAAAAAAAAAAAAGAGCAAAACAAACAAACAGCTCTTTTAAGAGCTATCTGGGCGATCGAGAGGCCTTTCGGCTTGGAATCTTCTCCTGTTCCCTGGACGGCTCCTAGCGTTAATCAGGTTGCCGGCTGGCTCCTTATCAGGCTGGGCCCACGAGTTCGCTCCGGAGCCCTGTCCTGCAACGCGCTCGCCCCCTCTCGCCCTTGCTGACGTTTTCGCTGCTATTTCTCAAGCCTTTGCTTAGCAGCTTTTGGCGAGCCTCCTGGTGCTTCGAATTTTCGCTGATTTGTCGTGTGTGGTGCGCAGTGAGTACTGGGGCCTTCCCTCCATTTTCCCCTTCGCGCCAAAACTTGATTTGCAAAATGGCGGACTCCCGTTCATCCAGAGCTGGCCGTGGGACTGTCTCTAGTAATCCAAGGAAGTGCCATAACAGCGATCCTGGGGAGGGCACTTCAGGGCTTCAGAAGAGCCATAAAAAGCCCCATAAATCATCTCAGCTTAAGAAGGATGAACAGCGTAGGCACAGGGCGTTGGAACGGGCCGTTCAGAAAGCGCAGCTGCAGGCCGCCAAGGAGATTGTTGTTCAACCCCCTCAGGCCTCTACTCTGGATGCTAATTCCCAGGCTGCCCATATCCATATTCAGCTCCAGGCCACGCACAGATCTTCCCTTTCACCGGATCGCCTTGAAATGGGGGCTTCTCCCTCTTCCAGTGCAGTGGCCATTCTGTTTGCCACCCTACCCCAGGAGGGTCTCTCTCATGAATCCACCATTCAAGCTCCATTGCCTGCTGTTTCTTCTGTCTGCCAGCCCCCCCCTCCTCCCCCCCCTCCGCCCCCCCATCTTCTGTCCTTCCACCACCTCCCCTCCCTGCTACCTTGGAATCCTTGCCTTCTTCTATTTCTCCTGCCCTGGCTTCTCTTATATCATCAGCTATACGCCAGGGGATCTCTGAGGGCCTCAACCAGCGTGCGGAATCGGAGGTGGCAGACTACGCCAGTCAAGTCAGTGGTTTTTCCCACAGGGGAGAGGCTTCTCCCCACCTGGACAGACCTTGCTCTCCAACTTCTGCTAGCCAGGCCTCTCTGTCCGCTGAGGACCTTGCCCTGGACCAAGAATGGCCTGATGATGAGGGTCTGGAGCCTGACCAACCAGCTTTCGTTGGCCTTTTCAAACCCCACCTATTCCGCTCCTTGCTCTTTAAGGCCCTATCTGTCACCAAAATGTTGCCTGCTCCCACTTCCCAGGGAGCGGCTTCCTCCTCTGATGACCCATCTGCTTCTCTCTTTTCAGAACAACCTAGCAGAGTGGATACCTTGCCTGCACCGAAATTATTCACGGATGTGGTAAAGAGACAATGGGCCTCTCCGGGCACTGGCCCCTTGCCCAATTCTCAGGACAAAAAGTTCTATGCTATTCCTACTGACTTTTCTGACTTGTTACAGGTGCCGGTTGTGGATGCTCCAGTTGTAGCCTTAGCCTCCTCTTCCCATCTTGCTGGTCCTCCTGAGGAGTCATTGCGTCCTGAGGATAAACGTGCCGAGCGGACTCTGATCAAAAATCATCAAGCTTCTGCATGGGCGGTAAGAACCGCTTCGGCGGCATCATTCTTCAACAGGGCATCCATTTTGTGGTTGAAGCAGCTGCAGGACCGCCTCCCGGCCTCTGACACACGCTCCCACCAAGACATTAATAAAATTCTGGCCGCAATGGAATTTTCAGCTGACGCCACCCTCAACACGGCTCGCTTTTCAGCCAAGGCCATGGGGTCTTCCGTCTCCTCCAGGAGGCTCCTCTGGCTCCACCATTGGCAGGCTGATGCCAGGAGTAAATGGCGTCTGGCAGCTTCTCCTTACGAGGGTAGGTCCCTCTTTGGCTCCGCCCTCGACCCTATTTTGGTGGAAACCAGAGATCACAAGAAAGTTTTTCCAGTTGTTTCCCGTAGATCGGATTTTCGTCAACAGCCTTATTATCGGGCCCAGTCCTTTCGTCCATCTGACAGCAGCACCTCCTACAACCGCTCCTCTCGCAGCTTCCCCTCCAGAGGGATGCAGAACCAGGACTTTCAGGTCAGATCCCATTCCAGATTCCCCCCGAGACGGTTTCCCCGCGGCGGCAGAGGCCGCCCCTTCCGCAAATCTCGTTAAAGGAATTCCAGACTCCTTGGTAGGGGGCCGTCTTTCCTTTTTTTCCAGTTCCTGGGACGCCACTACCTCTGATCTTTGGGTTTGTTCTACTGTTCGGGAGGGTCTTCGTTTGGAGTTTAGTTCACCTCCTCCTCGGGTTTTCGTCCCCTGTTCTCTCTCTCATGATCCTCCTTCCCGTGCCCGTATGGAGGCTGCTGTTGCTCACCTTCTTAAAATTAAAGCCATCGAGCCCGTTCCTCCATCAGAACGCAGGTCTGGTTTTTACTCTCGCCTCTTTCTTGTCCCCAAATCCTCGGGGGGCTGGCGGGCCATACTGGACCTGAAATCTTTGAACCGGTTCATAAAATACCGCCGGTTCAAAATGCACTCCCTTCACACCATCTTGGAGTGCATTCGTGAAGGTGATTTCCTTGCCTCGGTCGACCTGACCGAGGCCTATTTGCATGTCCCCATTTTTCCACCCCACCGTAAATTTCTCCGTTTTTACTTTAGGGGCTCTCACTATCAATATAGGGCTCTCTCTTTCGGCCTTTCCTCTGCGCCCAGAGTCTTCACTAAATTGATGGCGACCCTTGTCGCTCATATTCGGTCCCTTCCCATTCGTATTTTATTTTACTTGGATGACATTCTCATCCTTTCCTCCTCCCTTCCCGGGGCTCAGCAGGATGTTTCTACTTCTATCCGTTTATTTCAAGCTCATGGTTTCCTAATCAATTGGGCCAAGAGTTCTCTAACGCCTTCGACCCGTCTCCAGCATTTAGGGGCTGTCATCGACACAGTGTCATCCATGGTGTTTCTTTCTCCGTCTCGTCAGGCCAGCTTATCTGACCTGGCTTCTCAATGTCTGGACGGCCGGCCCATGTCTGTTCTTGCTCTCTCCCGTCTTCTGGGGAAAATGGTGTCCTCCTTCGACATCGTCCCCTGGTCCCGCTTACATAGCAGGCGCCTCCAATGGTTCCTTCTTCCCTTTCAGCGTTCTCTATCTGTTTCCTCGTTGCGCAAAGTCTCCCTTCCTTCGAAGGTTTTGGACTCCCTAAAATGGTGGTCTTCTTCGGCTATTGCCAATGGCACCCTGTTTCGAGAACCTCATCGGTCTGTTCTTACTACTGATGCGAGCCTTTCCGGCTGGGGGGCGCACTTAGATTCCCATATGGTTCAGGGCCTTTGGACCGAAGCGGAGAAGGACTCCTCTATTAATTTTCTGGAATTACGGGCGATTTTTCTCGCCTTACGTCATTTCCTTCCCCTTCTTCAGGGCAAGCACGTTCTTGTGTTAACCGATAATGTTTCCGCCAAGGCCCACGTTAACAGGCAGGGTGGCACCCGCTCTAGATCCCTCTTTCACGAATCCTTACAACTCGGCCTCTGGGCCGAGACTCACTTGGCCTCTCTGACGGCTTCTCACATTTCTGGCAAGTCTAACGTTCAGGCTGATTCTCTTAGTCGCAATTGGGTGGACCATTCTGAATGGCAGCTTCACCCTGACCTCTTTCTGGACCTTTCTCACCGCTTTGGCCTTCCCGAGGTTGACTTGTTCGCTTCCCACTCCAACCATCAGGTCCCTCGTTTCCTTTCCAGATTCCCGTCCCCAGGAACAGAGGCGGTGGATGCCCTTCGCTCTCCCTGGCCCTGGGGGGTGCTTCTTTATGCCTTCCCCCCCCCTGCCTCTCATCGCAAGGGTCCTCAGGAAACTCCTACAGGAGAAGTCGGAGCTGATCCTCATAGCTCCTCATTGGCCTCGCCGGCCCTGGTTTTCGGACCTGGTCTCCCTGTCCACGGCCAGTCCATGGCGAATACCGGACGAGTGAATTTGCCTTCTGCAGGGGGCTCTGGTCCACCCAGAGCCCCAGTGGCTACAGTTAACCGCCTGGAGACTGAGCGGGGATTCTTGACGAGGGCCAATATCCCCCCTGCCGCCATCAAAACCATCCAGGCTGCGCGGCGCCCCTCCACCGCTCGTATCTACGAGTCTACCTGGCGCTCCTTTTCATCATGGTGCTCGGCCCGCCAGGTTTGTCCGACTTCGCCCTCGGTTGAGCACGTCATCGGTTTTCTCCAGGAAGGCTTCGACTCTGGCCTTGCCCCTTCTACCCTGAGGCGGCAAGTAGCGGCCTTGGCTTCCATCTCCGCATGTGCTTCTCTGACAACTGTTACCAAGGATCCACTGATCCGCCAATTTCTGCGGGGCGCTTCCAACTTGAGCCCCCCGGTCATTCACCGTTTCCCTACCTGGGATCTCTCAAAGGTCTTGTCCTCTCTCACTCAATCGCCCTTCGAACCTCTCCGGACGACTTCCCTGAAATTTCTCTCCTTTAAAGTTTCGTTTTTGGTGGCGATTACATCCGCTCGTCGCATTTCCGAACTGGCCGCCTTGTCGATCCGACAAGACTTAAGTGTTTTCCATCACGACAAGGTGGTCCTCCGTTTGGACCCCACGTTCCTTCCCAAAGTGAATTCTGTATACCATTGATCACAGGAGATCGCCTTGCCCAATTTTTGCCCTCGCCCGTCTCACCGGCTCGAGGAACAGTGGCACAAGCTCGACGTCCGTAGGGCTTTGCGGATATACCTTTCTCGTTCTGCCTCCTTTCGCAAAACCGAGGCTTTATTCGTCTCGTTCCAACCTACCACGATGGGGATCAAGGTTTCTGCTCCGACCTTGGGCCGATGGATCCGGGCCACAATTGCCTTCTCTTATGAGTCACAGTCGCTTGCGGTCCCCAATAGGGTGACTGCACATTCCACCAGGAGTGCAGCCACCTCCGCAGCTTGGGCTACTCAAGCGTCCTTGGAAGAAGTCTGCAAAGCGGCGACTTGGTCTACCCCGACACCTTTTATTAGACACTACCGTCTGGATGCCTATGCGTCGGCTGATGCGGCGTTCGGCAGACGGGTCCTACAACGGGTCCATGTTTCCTGATCTGCGGCTCGCCCGAGTACTGCCCTCCCGTTGGACATCAAGCTTTGGTATGTCCCGCGCTGCCTGCCGTTCCCAACCAGGGAGGAGAAAGGGCGTTGGTCCTACCTGATACGCCCGTTCTCTCCCGCGGGAGGGAACGGCAGGCAGCCCCCTCCCTATTGGGGCTGCGCCTTCGGGTGTCGGGGTGGGGTGGGTTGTACTCACCTTTCCTTTCTATCAGCAGGAGACACGCAACAGTCTGCAGTGATTACCTCGCCGATAAACTGAAGAGAGCAGCAGGAAGGGCGGGGCTAAACGTCATTGCAGACCCGGTCTTGATTGGTCTACTGACTGAGTTTACCCGCGCTGCCTGCCGTTCCCTCCCGCGGGAGAGAACGGGCGTATCAGGTAGGACCAACACCTTTTTGAGAGTTGTTAATTCGTTCTTTAAGGGCTTAAATTACTCAAAATTGCAGCAAATATTCTTGTAGACAAATTATACAGTACTTTAATGTCTGAAAATAATTGTTTCAGAATCTATGGAAGGGCTAATTTTGTCTGCAGTGCTGTGTCCTCTATGGAAATAGTTAATTATGAAGCTTCTATTTGCTGTAGCAGGTTCTGAGGAAATTTCTTTTGCCAAGTAGTGCTTCCAATCTTTGCAAGAATCCAGATACTGCTAACTGCTAACATAGCTACTAACTAAATATAAGTAAGATAATTGTACTTAGTGGAATTTATTTATTTGTTGCTGCCCAACTCCAATCAATTCTGGACAATTCAAACAGAACAACAAATATGCAATTAGGTTATCTATTTATTTATTTATTTATTAGATTTTTATACCGCCCCCTCTCCCGAAGGACTCGGGGCGGTGAACAGCCAAAATTTAAAAAACATACAATATAAACATTAAAATACGTTTAAAACAGAATTAAATCCAAAATGGCTCCCCAATTTAAAACGCCTTACCCATGACCCTATAAATAAGACGAATTTAAAATTTAAAATTTCCACATTTAAAAAGGGGGAAGATTTAGGCGAGGCCAGCTTGATAAAATAGAAAAGTCTTAAGCGCGCGGCAGAAGGTGCGCAGATCCGGGATCCTACGTATCTCCGGGGGGAGCTCGTTCCAAATCGTAGGTGCCCCCACAGAGAAGGCTCTCCCCCTAGGGGCCGACAGCCGACATTGTTTGGCCGACGGCACCCGGAGGAGCCCCTCTCTATGGGAGCGTACTGGCCGGTGGGAGGCTATTGGTGGTAGCAGGCGGTCCCGTAAATAACCAGGTCCTAAGCCATGGAGCGCTTTAAAGGTGATAACCAGAACCAGATAACCAGAATATCCAGGAATAAACAGATGGTATATCTGGTTAACACATCATATCATATACCTGACTACACTGTGTGCACAATTATTAGACAAGTTGTATTTTGGAGGATTAATTTTATTATTGAATAACTACAGTGCTCTTGGTCAGTCCAAAATGTTAATAAAGTTCAAACCTGAATATTTAAGAAAGTAAAAGTGAGGTTTTGGCTTTCTTAGGAGAATATCTATGTGTGCACAGTTATTGGGCAACTATTAGTGTGCAGAATTATTATGCAACTAAATGAAAAACAAAAATTTGCCCATCTCGTTAAAGTGAGTTAAATAAATAAATAAAGTTAAAGCATCTGTTAAAGTGAGAATAATAAACAACTCAAAATGTACAAATAACATTTCTGACATTTAAAAAAAATCATGACCAATATAGCCACCCTTCTTTTTAATAACAGTCATAAGCCTTCCATTCATGGAGTCTGTCAGTTTCTTGATCTGTTGATGATCAACTTTTTGTGCAGCAGGAGCCATAGCCTCCCAGACACTGTTCAGAGAGGTGCTGTTTTCCTTCACTGTAAATCTCCCATTTAAGAAGGGCCCACAAGTTCTCAATAGGATTTAGGTCAGATGAGAAAGGGAGCCATGTCATTATTCTTTCATCTTTAAAATCTTTACTGACTAGCCACGCAGTGGAGTACTTTGATGCATGTAAGGGAACATTGTCCTCTATAAAAATCATGGTCTTCTTGAAAGATGCAGAAAGATGTACCACTGCTTGAAGAAAGTGTCTTCTAAAAACTGACAGTAGGTTTGGGAGTTGATTTTGAGTCCATCTTCAACCTGAAGAGGTCCAACTAGCTCACCTTTAATAATACCAGCCCATATCAGTACCCCACCTCCACCTTACTGGCATCTGAGTTGAAGTGGAGCTCTGTGCCCACTACTGATCCAGTCATGGGCCCATCCATCCAGTCTGTCAAAAGTCACTCTCAACTCATCTGTTCATAAAAACATTTGAAGAATCTGTCTTAAGATATTTCTTGGCCCAGACTTGCTGTTTTACCTTATGTGTCTTGTTCAGTGGTGGACGGGTTTCAGCTTTCCTTACCTTGGCCATGTCTCTGAGCACTGAGCATCTTGTACTTCTGGACCCTCCATGTAGGTTGCAGTTCTGGAATATGACAGCGCTGGAGGATAATGGGTGTTGTGGTCCGCCAGCAGCCTGTGGAGCTGACAGCAGAACCGGACAGGTGAGGAGGCTGGGGAGGACCATGGGCCAGTCCTGGGGAAGGCTTGGACGAGGGCTTTGCGTCAGAGGCAAAGAAAGGGCCATCTGGAAGGTGTGTGCTGCCTCTGAAGCCTCCAGAGTCGGACCTCAGCGAGGCAGAGGAACAGGGGGAGCCTGTTCCTAGCGCGCACATGCGCAGAGCTGCCAGAAGGCAAGAACAACTAAAACAAAAGGGACGACTCGGGAATAGGGCTGGGAGATGATTGGCCCTCCCATAAGACTTAAAAGAGAAGCAAAGGCACGTTTGTTCATTCAGTTCAGCTTAAAGCCTGAAGCTCTGTTTGATTCTGGACTCCTTGTGGCTTTGCCGATTAGGTCTTTGGCAGCGTGTCAAGGGAGATAAAGGTGGGTGATTATCCCAAAGGAAGTCTCCCAAAGGACTCTTTATAACTAATTGGGACTCATCTGTGAAGGAACAGAATTCACAGCTGTTGCAATAAAAGAGATTTTTGGGACTACTCTTGTGTTTTAATGACTCAGGAAGTCTAGGTCAGAACAGTAGGTTCCTGATAGTTTCACATTTGAGTCTTCTCAAACCTTTGGCAGTTAATGTGTGGCTTTTTTTCTCAACATATTTCTTGCAACCGTGTTAACTATTTGCAACAAAACTTTTGATGGTTCTGTGATTATACCCCAACAGCTTAGCAATTCCTCCCTCTGAAAGAGTTCCAATTTTTGACTTTTCAGAGTCAGTTAAATCTATTTTTTGGCCCATTTTGCCTGATGAAAAGAAGCTGCCTAATAATTATGCACATCTTGATATAAGGTGTTGATTTCCTTAAGCCATACCGTCCCTCATTACACAAATACACAGCACTTGATCTGCTTATATCGACTAAGCATTTAAGTTTATACAGCGTGGAGGTGGAAAATATGCATACAAACGATGATATGGTCAAAATACACACTTGCCTAATAATTGTGCACACAAAGTGTAGTAGCTGTGACCTTGCTACCCAAGTCCTGGGAGAAGATATGACATTCTAGATTTGGCCTTTGGTATCTTTATATGGGTGTATATAGCAAATTAAGCAAGAAAAGAACCATCCAAGATAAGCTAAAATTTGTAGTTATTCTCTTTAATCAATACAAGGTGATGAAATTTTAATATGCAATTTGGTATATTAAAGTTCCTAAGGGGTTAAAAATAGAAGTACTCTGAAAGTAAAAACCTGTTACAGCACTTGAATAGGATAATAATCAGAAGTAATCCCACTAAATTTAAGGGATTTGTTTACTAGTAAAAAGATACTGGACTTCAAGTTCAGTTAACTTTATTTTGTATTCTAGCACCTGTTAATCAGTCTTTTGAATGCACTGGAATGTTAGAGTAGCTCTATGTAAAATTGCATTGTAATGAATTATAAACAATATTCTATACAATTGCTCTTTCCCATTCCTGCAACTTTTTACTGAAAAAGAAGATAAGAATCTAAACCAGAAAACCTTGTACCAAAATAAAGGTAAGAATCAAGATTCTTCCTACTGCATGGCAAATGGTGAGGTATTTTTGTAGGTTCCAATGCTCTGTTACAGGAAGACTATATATGCAAAGACTGAAAAGACAATATCCTTATTGCCTCTTATAAATGCAGATTTTTTTAAAATCATGTCAAGAGAGAAAGAGTATACTAAATACTGGTTTTATAACTCCAAACCAAAAAGCATTTTAAACAAGTGATTTATAATATACTACAGTTCAGCTTTTAGAAGTCCTTTTCTCAGAACATATATTTCCTGAATTGGTTTTTAGTTAAACAGAGAAAATTATGAAGATTCCAAGACTTTGAGACAATACATTCTCCAGTGTGCTGAGTAGAGAATCCAAGGAATGGGTGTTAACTCTGCCTTTCTGCCCGGAGACTGAGTCGGTCAATCTTTTGGTCATGCCTCCTTTTCTTTGTGTGCCCCATTTTTGACTCAGTCTTTGCTCAGAAGAGACATTTGAAAAGGCTATTCAGAACAAAAAAGAGTTCATTCCTTGGATTCTTGACAGCTCACAGTAAGATAGTCGGCATCGCGTAAGCCTTCGCAAGACAATGAATGGCTTGGCTGGCTCCCCAGTTCATCCAGCAATGCCGCTTTGTGCCAAACCATTTGGCTGGCTCCCCAGTCCATCCAGTATGGCCACCTTCGTCCCGGCTGGCTTCCCGTTCCGTCCGGCATAGCCGCCTTGCTCCGGCTCTTAACAGATAGAGCCCAGGTCCCTAACTGAGCCCGCAAAACAGCAGAGGGGACTGAAGTCACTGCATGGTTAACGCCTGGTGAATACTGGTGGGAAAAGCCACAGCAGCAAGGTTCCTGTTAGGAATAAGCCTGCCTTACCCAGAAGGACCAAAACTTCAGAATGGTGGATCCTGTGGCTTCAGGAATGCTAGAAGTGAGTGGGGAGGACTAGGGCTTCCCAATCGAGCCCCAGATTCCCCAGAAAAGCTCCTCGGCACCAAAATTGGCCATCAAAGGAGTGTCTGCCAGAATACGAACAAAAGCCCTTTCCTTCCAAAAAGCTTCTAAAACTGAGGAGGCCCAGAGGCGTCAAAAGGCCCTGGATAAAAGAGTTTCCAAGGCTGAGAGGAAGCCGAGCGATGGAGTTGGGAAAATTCCCTTAGGGCAGAAAGAACTGTCATTTCCCGCGTTTTGCCAGCTCAGCTGTTAGATCATTTAAATGATGCAAGGCAACAGATGGCTCTGTGCTCTCAATCCTCTCAGCAACCATTTATATCAG